GTTCAGGGTCTCAGAGGAGGCTGTGGATACTCAGCAATTTTTGGTTTTAGTTTTTTTCTGCCTTGGCCTTGCTTTTTCCTACTTCAGATGTAATCAGTCCTAATGGCTGGTTTGGGACCTGGGTCAGAGGTCAGGGTCAAGACCTGGCTTCAGGTTCTTCCAGGTGTACTGGTCAGGCATTTTGTAGAACGCCCTTCGATTTGGGTATTCGATGTTTTTCTCAAGGTCGGACTGGGTTTTGGGAGGAATTCCACAGAGGAGAGGCGCCCTCCTCATTGCACAAGGGTCTGTTTTGAAATGAGCATGAATGGGATTTCCTGAGGGGTCAGGTGGGAGAAAGGGCAGAGGCAGGGCTTTTGGTTTGAGAAAGAGAGCACCGAATCCTAACCACTAGACCACCAGGGAAGCTGGGCTTTTGGTTTGAGAAGCTGGAAGACCTGTGCTGGTCAGCTGGAACAGAAAGGCTGAGGCAGGCGTGAGGGCTGGGGGACAGTGGGCACTTTCTCTGGGCTTGTTGAGTCACAGTGGTCAGGGAAATGGGTCCTTCATGGACGACATCTGAGCCGCTTGTCCACCCCTGAGGTCAAAGTGGTGGGGGATTATGATGGGCAGCCCCGCAGCACCACAGGGGTTTCCCCAGGGGAGGACACGTGCTCCTCCCAGGAAAAGGTCAGAAGGGAAATTGGGAAGACACACCCACTGCTGTCCTGGGGGTTGGGCTACCACCAGGAGGATGTACAGATTCAGGGGTGCGATGAATTCCATTTTGGATAGTGTGAGGGGGGCAGTGGGATGTATAGGAGGGGGCTGGATCCCCTGTGGGTGGGATAAGCCACACGGGTCCACATGGTCCTCTCAATCCTTGTTTTCTGTTCTCACTTTTGTAATTTTTTAAAAGTTATTTTTATTCTGTATTGAGATTGAATTCACATACCACACAATTCACCCATTGAAAGTGTGCACTTCAGGGATTTGTGGTATAGTCACAGAGTTGTGCAACCATTGCCACTCTCAATTTTAGAACATTTTCATCACCCCCAAACAAAACCTTGCCTCCCTTAGCCATCATCCCCCAATTCCCCACCCCTCCCTAGGAAATCATTAACCTGCCTTCTGTGGATTTGCCTGTTCTGGACATTTCATATAAATAGAACCATACTCTATGTGTCCTTTGGTGTCTGGCTCCTTTCATTCAGCCTTAGGTTCTATGTTGCAAGACTTAACTATACTTGACTCCTTTGTCATGGCTGATTAATATTCTACTGTATGGACAGACCATGTTTTGTTTATCTATCACCTGTTGATGGACTCTTGGGTTGCTTCTAACTTATTTTTTTTTAAGTTTTTTTTTTCTTAATTGGGAATTGGGGAGGGGAACAGTGTTGGGGAATTGGGGAAGGGAACAGTGTTGGGGAATTGGGGAAGGGAAACATTGTGTTTTTCCAGGACCCATCAGTTCCAAGTCAAGTTGTCCTTCTCAGTTGTGGAGGGCGCAAGCTCAGCTCTAAGTCCAGTCATTGCTTTCAATCTAGTTGCAGGGGTGGGGGGATGGGGGGGGAGAGCGCGTAGTCCACCATCCCATGTGGGAGTCTAACCGGCAACCTTGTTGCATACTGAGCCATCTGGCCGCCCGTCCCATCAGCAGTTCGCGGCTGCTCAGCTCAAGGTGCTGTGTTCAATCTTAGTTGGGGGCGGGGGGGAGGTGGGTGCGCAGCCCACCATCCCATATGGGTGTCATACTGCAACCTTGCTGCTAAGAGCACGCGCTCTCACCAGCTCAGTGGCAGCTCAGCTTGGGCGCAGCTCACTGGTCCATGTGGGAATCGAACTGGCTACCCTGTTGCTCAGAGCTCACGCTCTTAACCAACTTGAGCCACTTGGGTGGCCCTGTTTGTACTTTTTAACTGTTGTGAATAATGCTGCTGTGGACATTGTGTGGACATGTTTTTGTGGGGACTTCGGTTTTTATTTGCACTGGGTATAGGTATCTAGGAGTGGATCCTTTTTCTTTTTTTTTAAATTTTTTTCTATCCTGGGCTCCCAGGAGGCAACATCATCCTGGCCTGTCGAGACATGGAGAAGTGTGAGGCGGCAGCAAAGGACATTCGCAGGGAGACCCTGAATCCCCGCGTCAATGCCCGGCACCTGGACTTGGCCTCTCTGAAGTCCGTCCGAGAGTTTGCAGCCAAGATCATTGAAGGTAGGAGGGAGGGCGCTGGCCTTGTGGGTGGGGTCTCCGGTGGCCAGACTCTGAGGAGCAAATTAAACCAGGCTTGGACCTTATGGCCCACAGAGCCAAAAATCTTTCCTACATGGTCCTTCACAGAGAGAGTTTGCTGACTCCTCCATAGGAAAACAAACTGCTGCACTAGCTTGGCTCCTACAAGAAGCAGAAGCCAAGATGGGAGGTGGGGGAGTTAACTAGGGAAGAGGGGCAGAAGCAGTGATTCATTCATTGTTTCTTGAGGCTTTCTGGCTCTCTCAGGTGACACCAGGGACACAGATGAGTTAGATTCAGGCTTTGCCTCCAAGGAGCGCTCAGTCTGGTGGGGACATGGCTGTGACAATCCTACATTACTGGAGAACCCACAGGCACAGTGCAGACTCCCTGGACCTTTCACTTCTTTGCTGTGCATTTCTTTTCTCAAATCCAGGGATCAGGCTGGCATTTTTCAGCACTTCTGTTGCATTGGTTGGTGGCTCACGCTTTTTGCTTCCCACCTGGTGTTTTTAGAACTATTCTCGTATTTATTTTTTTGACTAGGAATAACCTTTCCAGGAATAAACGTTTAGAAACTTCAAAAGAGGAGACAGGGACAAGTCTCCCTACCACACCTGCCCCTAGCTACCCAGACTCCTTACTCACGTGTGTTCAGTTCTCCCCTGTGTGTCTTTTTGGAGACAGTTTATGCATTTATAAAGCAGACAGGTGTATCCACCTCCCCTTGGGTTTTTTTGTGTAAATCGGAGTCTGTTATACACCTGTTGCTCCATGCTTTTTCTCCCCCATTATCTCTCAGAGATGGGTGCAGCCAGGGTGTCCTAGTTCTTGCGGCTACATTATATTTCTTCATTCTTTTTTTGCAGCTACATTGTGTTCCATTGTGTGGATCTGACAGGTGATGTTACTGGTTCTCTCCCAATGGCCACTTGGCTTCCAGCTTTTCAGGGCTACAGGCACTGATGCTGTGAACATCCTCGTATATCTGTGTTATTTCTCACACCTGTGAGGGTTTCTGCAGATCTTGAGACAACCTCTTTCTTTCCACCCAGCTCTGTATTAAACAAAAGCAGGAAAGCTAGTGGGGAGACAGCAGCTCTTGCTCTGAAGTGGTGAAGAAATAAACATTTATGGAGTGTGTTTTTTTTTTTCTCCCTGATGCAAAGAAATACATATTTGTTATGGAAAATCTATAAAATCCTGAACAGTAAGAAAGAACTGAACACCTTTGATTGCACACCAACCCTAAGGGAGTATGTTAACCTTTTTTCTCCTTACATTGTAAAGCTTTCATCTTGAAAACATAGCTGGTATTCTTTATTTTAACAATACAAATTAATAATATGCAGGAAGAATTGCAGGCGGGGGAAAACGTAGTCACAGAGGAGCTGTGTGACTTGGCTGGGATCATACAGCTTGTCAGGGTAGAGTTGGGGGACTTGAACTCCCCTCTGAGCTTGTGATCCTGATGGGAATGCCACATCCCTTTCCCCTCAAATAAAGAACAAAATAGAGGCTCTCTTTATTGGGCACTACATGACTTAATTCATTAATTTCATTGATCCCCAAAACCACTTTGGGAATGTTATGGGTTCTATTGTGTCCCCCCAAGAAAAGAAGTGTTGAGGGGTCCTACCCTCAGTACCTCAGACTGTGACCTTATTTGGAGAGGAGGGTCTTTACAGAGGTAACCAAGTGAAAATGAGATCATTAGGGTGGGTCCTAATCCATCTGTACTGGTGTCCTTATAAGAAGAGATTAGGACACAGACATGTACAGAGGGATGACCGGGTGAGGACGCAGGGAGTTGGCCATCTACAAGCTTAGGAGAGAGTCCTGGAACAGATTCTCCCTCATGGTCTCAGAGGGAACCAGCCCTGCGACATCTTGATCTTGGACTTCCAGCCTCCAGGACTGGGGGACAATAGATTTCTGTTTTCAAGTCACCCACTGTGAGACCAGAGATCCAGGTGTTGGCAGGACTGCACTGGGTAGAACCTTTCCTCGGTTTTCCTGCTTCTGGTGGTGCCCGTCAATCTTGGTGTTCTTTGGCTTGTAGCTGCATCTCTCCACTCTCTGTCTCCATCATCACACCATGGGCTCCCCATGTGCATGTCTGTGTCCAAATTTCCCTGTCTTATTAGGACGCCAGTCATGTTAGATAGGGCCCACCCTATGTCCTCATCTTTACTTGATTAGTTCTGCAGAGACTGTTTTCAAGGAAAGATCACATTCACAGGTTCCGGGTAGACACAAATGTTTGGGGAATGCTAGTCAGCCCAGCAGGCACAGAGCTGACACGTTTTCCCTGACCCCTGCCTTCCAGAGGAGCAGCAAGTGCATGTCCTGATCAACAATGCGGCTGTGATGCGGTGCCCCCACTGGACCACTGAGGACGGCTTTGAGATGCAGTTTGGTGTTAACCACCTCGGTGAGGCCACAGGCTGCGTGGTGTTGGTGTCAGCCTGGGATGTAGGCAGGGTCCCCAGTGGGCCAAACACAGGCTCATGGTGCAGGTAGGGTGTGCTCTCCTCCGCTCTCTAAGGCAGCCGGGTCACGCGGCGTCTCAGGGAGTTGCCTGATCATCTCTGGATGTTCAGTCTTTTGGAACCTCCATCAGTCTCTTGACACCTTGTCCCTTTGTCTGTCTTCCAGTCTCAGTCTGTACTTCAGCGATTCTGTCAGTCTATTTGTTGTTACCCTGAATGCACCTAGGGTTCTGTTAGCAAGGGCAAAAGGGCAATGGGTCATAGTGGATCAGGGCCCACCCTAATGACCTTACTTTAATTACTTCTGTAAAGACCCCAGATCCCATCTCCAAATAAGGTGACATTCTGAGGTCCTGGAGGGTTGGACTTCAACATGTTTTTTAGGGAGAAGGAGGGGACACAATTCAACCCAAAACACACATATTATTATCACTCATACCTTATTGGTTGGGATTCAGTCACATGACCTGATGTAGTTGCAAAGGAGCCTGGGAAATGTAGTCTTTCACTGGGGAGTCTTACGCATAGCCAAAAATCATATTACTGAAGAAGAAATGGAGAAAGTATTTTGGGAGACAGAAGGCAGTCTCTTCCCCAGCTGGCCTCATAGAATTATCACAGGGCTTGACATTTGGTGTTGGATAATTCCTTATGGGGACTGTCCTGTGCATTGCAGGATGTTGAGCAACATCCCTAGTATCTACCCACTAGATGGCAGTAGTGCCCCCATTTCACTCTGCAGTTGTGACAACCAAAATTGTCTCCAGATAATGCCAAATACCCCCTGGGCAGCAAAATTGCATCCGATTGGGAACCATATGTTATTGGGAGGGAGAAATAAGGTAATGTTCTCAGTATGGTCCTAGGCACGTGGTAAGAGTTCAGTAAAAGTTGTCTTTTTGTCATCTTTCATCCAGGTCACTTTCTTCTAACAAACTTACTGCTGGACAAGCTGAAGGCCTCGGCCCCTTCACGGATCATCAACCTCTCGTCTTTGGCCCACGTTGCTGGGCACATAGACTTTGATGACTTGAACTGGGAGAAAAGGAAATATAACACTAAAGCGGCCTACTGCCAGAGTAAGCTGGCCGTTGTCCTCTTCACCAAGGAGCTGAGCCGGCGGCTTCAAGGTGTGTGTGTGGCCTCTTTCTTCCTTTAGCTCTGAGCCTGGAACAGTCCTGCTGTGACCCTGGGATGGTGAGAGGTCACGCACTGGCTCCAGGACAGAGTAGGCAAGTGAATGACACACACACCAGCCTGTGTGTCATTCACTCCCCACTGGTGCCTGAAGCAGATGTCACTAATCAATCACAGTCTTCTTCCCTGCTCATCCAGAACAGGCATCTGAGCCTTTGGTGCTCTAGGCCAGTGGACATTTGGCAATCTCGTTGGCTGTCATTTCAGGGAGTAGGGATGGGTGGATATTGCAACTGGAATCTAGTGGACAGAATCCAGAGATGCTGTTCAATATCCTAAGTGCACAGGATAAAGAATGGGCTGAAGTTGGGATAAATAGGGCTGAAGTTGAAAAGCCTGCCGTTTACCTTTGCTTCTCAAAGTGGACCAGCAGCATCAGCTCAGCTGGGAGCTTGTCATAATTGCAGCATCTCGGACCCCACCCTGACCCACTGCTTCAGACTCTCTGGGGGTGGGGCCCAGTGGTCTGGGTTTTTCCAGCCCTTCACGTTATTTTTACACACACACTCAGGTTGAGAGGCTCTGCTCTGGGCAGCCATGACACAGCTGTCTTGCAAGATGAGACTACCTGGCATGGAGGTTTCAGAGCAAGAGGGTGGAGTGGGTCCAAGGGTAGGAAACAGGAGAGCCCAGAGCTCAGGGTGGGCAGCATCAGGCTTCTTGGTAAAGAGTGAACCTGGTGTCCGCCCCTGTTCTTCCTTTCTCGCACCAGGCACGGGTGTGACCGTCAATGCTTTGCACCCCGGTGTGGCCAGGACAGAGCTGGGCAGACACACAGGCATGCACAACTCTGCCTTCTCCAGCTTCATGCTTGGTGAGTCTCCTCCCAGCCTGGGGTCCCTTAGCTGAACCCCTGCCCTCCCAGCTGGGGCCCAGGACCCTCCCTCAGTGTATTAGCCCTAGGATATATATATATATATAAATATTTAGGGAAGTTTATTAGGAGAGATTGACTCATGATTTATGGAGGCTGAGAAGCCCCAACATCTGCCGTCGGCATGCTGGAGACCCAGGAAAGCTGGTGGTGTGGTTCCAGTCCACACCCAAAGGCCTGAGAGCCAGGGGAGCTGGTGGTGTAAGTCCTGGTTTGAGTCTGATGGCCAAGGGTGCCGATGTCTGAGGGCAGGTGGATGTCCCCGTTCAAGCAGAGAGAGGGCGAGCAAATTCACCCTTCCTCACCTTTTTGTTCTATTCTGGCCCTCAACTAGTGCATGCCGCCCACCTGGGTTTCCTTTGTTCAGCCTAAAGATTCAAATGCTTATCTCCTCTGGTCATACCCTCAGACGCACCCATAAGTAAGGTTTTGCCAGCTCTCGGCGTGTCCCTTAGCCCAGTCAAGTTGACACATAAAATTAATCACACTCAGAGACTATTCTCAGAGGCTTTGCTTTGCTCTGCCCTCCCCTGTATCTTCCATGTTACCAAGAACAAGTCACTTTTCTATGTCGATCCGGCCTGCCAGCCTCAGAATAGCCCCAGGAAACAGGCTAGAGCCCGTCTGATGAGAAAACCATGTCTCGGAGGAGGAGCCTGTGGAAGCCCACTCCTGGAGTCTGGCTGTGCTCAGGGTAAACTCAGCTTCACCAAAAACTAGCTGTGCCACCCTAGGAGGCTCACCTCTTTGAGCCTCAGTTTACTCATGCAATGTGAGGGCCAGCGTAGTACCCGCCTCACAGTTGCTGGGAGGGTTAGATGAGACCTCCCTTAAAAAGGCCAGCACAGTTCCTGGCCCAGATTTAAGCTGAATAAATAATTAGAACTTTATAACTAGTATTTATAATCCTGAGAAACATTTAGTAGGTGAGTGCCAGGTGTCAAAGATCTTAAGCCGAGGCTGGCACTGGAGATGTTCAATAAATAAAAGTTATTTTAAAGCATGATGGGGTAGGGTGGGACTCATGGCTGACTGAGAGGAAGGAGAGCTTCCATTTGCCTGGGAAAAGCCAGGGAGGCTTCCTGGGGGAGGCAGCTTTTGAGTTGGTCCCTGCATCTGGAGGGATTTGCCTGGGCAGTGCCAGGGAAGGGAACTCTTGGTGGAGAGTCAGAAGCAAAAGCCTGGAAGTGGGCTCTGTAGGACTCCAGGCCGACTTGTGGCCTCAGTGGCCCTGCGTCCTGGGGGTGGAGCAGGGCTTCCTGTGTCCTCTCTGAGTGTGTGTGGACTGAATGTTCTGTGGGTTGATTGCAGGACCCATGTTCTGGCTGCTGGTCAAGAGCCCCCAGCTGGCGGCCCAGCCCAGCACTTACCTGGCGGTGGCAGAGGAACTGGAAGGCATTTCGGGAAAGTACTTCGATGGACTTAAAGAGAAAGCTCCGGCCTCTGAGGCTGAGGATGAGGAGGTAGCCCGCAGGCTTTGGGCTGAAAGTGCCCGACTGGTGGGCTTGGAGATGTCCCATGGGTCCTCTGTGAGGAGACAGCCCCTCCCCAAATAACCTGGGAGCCCGTGTGAAAGCCACCAGGGAGGCAGAGTCATCAGGACGGAGCAAGACCAAGGATGACTGCCAGGCCTGCATCACCCTCTAGGTGGCAGCATTGACCAAGGAATGCTGGCTGCCATGCCCACATCACCTTCTAAATGGCAGCATTGGCCTGTTTTGTTTTTTTTCTCTTTTGTGGGCACAGTGGATTGGACTGCAGGTGGGCACTTTACCGACGGGTTGGCTGGGGCACTGTGCCCTGCTGCCATCAGGTGAGCTGAGCCTGCTGAGAGGAGCCAGCTTACCCTGGTGTGGGCCACAGTGGGGGACCATATAGCCATGGACAAGTTGTCTGACAGACATGGTTGAGTTCATGGTTACCTGTGGGACCTTGAACACCTTCAGCCTCCTCTCCGAGCCTGTTTCTCCAACTGTAGAATGTGTGCAAAACTTGACCACCTCACAGGATGGCATGATGCCAAATGGGTAATTTCCTGGCTCGGTGAATAGCAGCTGTGAATTTCTTCTCAGGGAAAGTTTACTGAGGGTCTTCCATGAGCCAGACCTGGCCTTGTTATCTCCGTCATGCTCAGGACAGCAGCTGCTGCTGCCGAGGACCCAGGATGCCTGAGGTCGTGACCTTTCCTTGGCCCGTAGACTCTCAAACTTACTCTTTAAAAGATTAATGATACAACATCTAGCTGAGTCACAGGTTTTATTTTCTTTCTCCGTGCCAGTGGGGAAGTGCCAATGAGCCAAATACCAACTCATGTATTTCTTCCTTTTGGGAAACCCAGATGTCAGTTTAAATATTCTCAGGGCAATAAGCCAATCAGACATTTAGACATTTAAAGGTGAAAGGGTCCCTTCCCTCCTTTCACGTGGCGACAGTTGTTGAAATCTAGGTGTCTTCTGTGTTAGAAACAGGGCTGGCACTCAGCTTGGGCACAGAATTGAGGGGTAACGGCACCAAAAGCTTAGTAATCCAGATAAATATTTTAACATTAAAAAATGTAACATTTACCATACTTCGGGAGGTCGAATGCTGTGTCACATCCTACAATATACAGAACAGCACAGAATGACGGCCCTGGATGCCAGCAGGGCCAGAGGAGGGGAGCGATGGAGGCTGAATCAAAGATGCCCAACACTTTATAAATCCAGTTAGTTTTCTTTCTGTTACCACATCAGACCAGAGTAGCCGGGAGCTGTGTTTGGGGTGACCTGACTCTGGTAGGCAGCTTTGGATATGGACCCCGATGGTCCCCACATCCCCGTGTTCCAAACAATACAGGATCACCTCCCTCCTTTAAAGGATCTGATTAGCAACTTTAATTCCATCTGCCACCTTAATCCTCCTCGGCCACATAAAGTTGACATGGTTGGGATTAGGATGTGGACATCTTGTGTGGGGGGGGCACTACTCTGCCTACCACATTGCCTCTTTCAAAACCTGCTTCCTTAGCCTTTCTTATGATTGTGAACTCCCCTAGCATACTTCCCACCGCTTCCTTTCTGCTTAAATTAAGTGGAATCAGCTTCACCAGTGTTGCTTGCTAGCAAATCAATTGAAATGAATGAATGTTATCAGGAGCTCTCTGCCACCTGATTTTAAATAATGGGTGTCTTAGCAAGAAGGTGTTGGAATTCAAAGTCCAATTCTGGAGCCCACTCTTTTTTGGGGGGACTATGGGTCTAAATTAACAGAGAGAAGCCTTGTCTGTTATGTAGACACAACGCGGCTCTGGGCTGATTCTAGCCACACACCCTCATGACAGACATCTGTTTCCAAAACTGAGAAACCCCCCAAAGCCACCAATGTTGACTCACAAATTGATGTCATCCTTGCCTATGTCCATCCCTGAAGGCCTTGAGGTGGCCCACACACCCAACTATAAACTTCATAGTTGAAAGATGATAAAAACCAATCTAAAAACACCTTGAAGGGCCAGCCGACTGGCGCGTTGGTTAAGAACTGGCTTGGGATGCCACAGGTCCCCAGTTCGGATCCCACATATGAGGGCCAGTGACACTGCCCTCTGCAGCTAAGATGGTGAATGGCAGCTCGACCTGGAGCTGGGCTGCTGTGGGTCGCTGGTGATGACGTAGGCTGCAGTACCCTGCTGCAGTGGGCTGCCATAAGCTACTGTGTGTAGGCGGCAGTCAGTGTGAGCGGCCAGCAGCCGCAGTGAGCGGCCGTCCAGAAGCTGGCGACTGATCTGCCTCATCCAGGAAGAGCGCAATGATGGTGCCAGCTTGGGCCAGTGAAGCCACATCCTCCACAACTAGATTGAAGAACAAAACAGCAGCTTGTCTGTTCCCCTTTCCCCGATTCCCCAGCACTGTTCTCCCCCAATTCCCCAATAAAATCTTTAAAAACAAACAAACAAACAAAAAACCACCTTCAAAACCCACAGATGCCCAGATAGGAGATTGTGGCAACGTAATAAGCAGACCGAGGAAGTGAACGTGTGAGGGTGATGATTTGGGAGGTGGACGCTTCACCGCCTAAGGGAACCCATGTCAGTGTGTATGCTTCATATCGCTCTTTGGGGCTTGGAAATTCTTCCAGGATGCCGTGGGCTGCAGGACAGGAAGAACTTGAGGGGGTAAGCTGGGCTGGTACATGCCCCCAGCAGCAGTGTGAAGGAATGCTATTTCCTAGAAGTTCAGGGGTATTAGGACAAGCTTTGGGTTCAGTGACATTGTCACCATTCCTTCTGCCTGACTATTTGACCATCACCAGGGTCAACTTCATCCCAAGGCAGGGTATCTGTAGTGGGTTGAATGGTGTCCCCCCTAAAAGCTACGCCTGCGTTCTAACCCATGGTACCTGTGAATGTGACCTAATTTGGAGGAAAGGTTCTTTGCAGATGCAGTGAAGTTAAGGATTTCAAAATGAGGTCATCCTAAATTATCTGGGTGGGCCCTAAATCCAATGATAAGTGTCCTTGTAAGAGATGAAGAGGGCACGGAGAGAGCAGAGAAGGCATGTGAAGACGGAGGGCAGAGATAGGAATGATGGACCCCCAAACTGAGGAATGGTGGAAAGGCGACCATGATCTCCAGCTACAGGGCAGACTCTGCTGGAAATCACAACAGGGCAGAGCTTGGAAATGAAATGAAATACCCAATGTTGGGACCCATCTGAGATCTGGAATTGGGTCATTTGTGTGGATACACCTGAAAATCTGGAATCCCCCAGTTCCCTTTGATTGGAGGTCATGGTT